CGCGGACGCCTCCCTCCTGCAGGTGTAGGAATTATCTTCCCCATTTAGCCCAGCGACGGAAGAGAGAACACACGCAGGTGTGCCGTGGCACCGGACCATCCCCCCGGGAGCCGCCAGAGAGAGGCCACCGGGGCACTGCCAGCGGCGCTGCCGGGGCACCAGGCTGCTCCGAGCAGGGCGGCCAGGCCTGCCCACAGGGCCAGGGCGCGGGCAGGGGCTCAGCGCAGAGGCGGAGCTTCTCTGGCTGACTCCTTGTTCAGGGTCACAGAAATGCCTGGGTGTGAGTGCTCCTCCCAATGCCCCCCGCTGCTGCCCCCAGGCTCCTGCGCCCGATCTCAGATGGGTGGGGGCAAGAGCAGTTTCCGGCCGACACCCCCACAAGCTGCCTGCAGCTGTGGCCGCTCCTGGCCTGCGGGAGCTGGGTGGCTCACCGTTCCCTCCCCTACTCACTTCCCCTTTCCCCGCGGGGACTGCCGCCTGCTGTCCTGTCACTGACCCACTGTGTGGGATGGGATCCCCTTCCTAACTGCCGGCTGAGCCCTGGGCTCGGCCCCCTGCACCGGGGGTGCCCCTGCCCTCACCTCCCTCAGTGCCTTGCTAACGGCCCCCAGGGAGGAGTTCCCAGGTCCCGGCCAGAAGGGGCCTACATCTCAGGGCCCTGCACTGGCAGGCGGCTCAGTGGTTGGCATGTAGTCCCTCCCGTGCACTGAGGATGGTAGGTTCAATGCTTGGTCAGGCCATCTGCCCATTTTGCAGGTTTGAAGCCAGTCGGGCGCATGCGATAGGCAACCTATCAGTGTTTCTCTCTCACATGGGTGTTTCTCTCCTCCCTCTCCCCTCCTCTCTCTCCGAAATCAATTTAAGAAAACATTGTCAAGGCCCCCTACCTAGGAGATACCCTGGTGACCATGACAGTCCTGGTCTGGGAGGGCTGATGGCCCTCCCTGGCACGAGAGGGTGGAGTCTGTGCAGCTCACCTGTCCGCGCCCACACCCTGGCCTCATGCACTGGCCAGTCCCACAGGGGCTTGCTGCCCGCCTGCTTGAGCGGAAAGGCTCTGAGAAGTCTAGGCCCCGGGCCCCGGTCCCCCAGCGAGGGCCGTGGTTCCATCCAGCTCTGCATGTGTTGGCCAGCACCAGGTGCCCCGGGCCCCCTCAGCCTCTCTGTAACGTGGGATGAGAGTGGTGCCGGCAGGGCTGTGGGGAGGACTCCCCAAGGGGGCAAGGAGGCACAGCCCGCCCGAGCATTCAGGAATACCCAGCCCCTCCTCCAGCTGCAGGGATGCTGATGCCCAGAGTGCAGCCATCCCTGCAGCTGCCCCACTGTCCTCTGCGGCCCCACGAAGCACCCAGTCCTGCTGTCACAGGGACCAGGGGGCAGGCTGTCCGAGGAAAGTGGCCTCTGGGGCTCCATGCTTCCAGGAGGCCGAGTGTCCCTGGGAAGGGCAGGCACAGGGGACAGGCTAGGGCAGGTGGAGGCTCTAAAGGTGGTAACATGCCCAACACCACCAGATAGTGAGGGTGGCCCCGGGTCTGAGGCAGATCCCCTCCGAGTGCGAGCACCCAGCCGCACCATAAGTGGGGGCGCTGACTTTAGGGGCTGGAGGAATGGAAGTGGAGGGCTCAGCACAGATCAGGGATCTGGGGTACAAATTCAGGTGTGGCCAGGGCAGAGTCAGGGGGTTCAGGCGTGGAGGGTGAGGCGGGGTACAGGTCCAAGTGCTAAGGCCAGGTGCTGGCGGGATGCGGAGGTGGGTGCAGGCTGGGGCCGCACTGGCTGCAGGGGTGGGAGCGCTGGAGCAGAAGGGGGGTGCTGGGGCAGATGGGGGCGCTGGGGCAGAAGGGGGAGCGCTGGGGCAGAAGGGGGGCACTGGAGCAG